TAAGCTTAATTGATTTGGTCTAAAGAGAGAAGAATTTTTGTTTGAAGACTACATATAAAATAGCTACCAAAATAAATGTTGGTAACTGCAGTTTGACTAAAAGTAATGACTAAAAGTTGACAAAAATGCAATGACTTTTCGTCGACTAAAACTAGACTAAATGACTAAAATGTGACTAAGAATATTAAACATTTTTGTCTCAAGATAAAGACTAAGACTAATCAAAAATGCCTGTCAAAATTAACACAGGTGTGCATCACATATGATTTGGACATTCACTGACCAAAAATGTTTTTCGGTTAACAAAAGCAAATTCATTCTCAGGTGGTGCCTTTATTGCAAAAGTGCAGTCAATACAGCACCGATAACATTTGGAAAACCGGCGATCGCTGCAAATTGGGTTTTGATGTTGGCCTGTTGCCCAAGGAAAACGAATGTATTGGGGTGCCATCTCTATGGCATGCCATCTCTACTATGGCATGACTCAGGGATGACTGTTACATCCCCTATCGGTCTGTCGATTCCCGCTGAAATTAAGTGGCTTAATGTCGTTGTGACGAGAGGGGTGGGGCCGAGAGCTGTGGGAACGGAGCGAGGCCGGTGGAGTTTACAGTCGTCAATACTTGCAAAGGAACAGGTACAGCGTGATTTATTCCTGAAGGTCTCTCCAATACTGGCCGTAATTCAGAACACAATTCCAAGAGGATGGCCCTTGGGAATCGAAATCGGCTCATAAGTCAATCATCATCATGAGCCAAGAAATCCTCACAATCCCTGAAAACACGCTCCCTCCGCATAGTAACATGGAAAGGTCTTCTAACAGTGCTAGCACATCCATGGTCTCAATGTCCTAAAACACTGGACACACACACACACACAGACATTTTTATAGCCAATTCATTCTAGTAAAAAAATTAACACAAAGTATTTTCACCTGGATGAACGTTAAATATATTTTGATTGATTAACTACATGTCTGATTGATGCATTTTACTTAAAGGGGTCATATGATGCGATTTCAATTTTTCCTTTCTCTTCGTTTAACAGCCTAAATGAAAAGCAGAGTTTTTAATTATTCTGTTCACTTAATTGCTTGGCCATTTGGTGTCGCTAAAACACACAAGCCACTTAAAGAGTGTGTACGCACAGTCAAGAGCATCTGTTCAAAAATGTCCTGTAGTTTTCTGTAAGGGGTAGGTTTAGGTGTAGGGTGATAGAAAATACAGTTTGTACAGCATAAAAACCATTATGCCTATGGAGAGTCCCCGTAAACCACAAATGCAAGTGTGTGTGTGTGTGTGTGTGTGTGTTGTATTACATTGGCTGACCTTCCTCAGGCCACGCGCTACATATTGCCACTGGCAACAAAGGGAAGCTAATTTGTAATCTGCAAACATTGCTTATAATCTCTGGGTCCTTTATGAGCTGTTGCCTAGCAACAATATGGCACCTTTCTACATTGAGTTATGTGCAGCTTGCAGTAAAATGTGTCAAACAGAAAAGATAAACTCATACTGTGAAATAAATTGTGTGTGTGGACATGAAACAAATTGATATGGACGGTAATAAGAAACAAATATCTATGAATTCCTAAAACATACAAATTAGCCTCTCCATTATTGGTTGTCTGTTTGAAGAAGGTATTTGCATGCATATCATCATTCGCGTCACATATTGTATCACACCTGGTTGGTTCATCTCAACCTTGCAGAGGACGCCACTCGAAAAAAAGGCAAGGGCCTTCCCTCATTTTCAAATTCTAATGTTGTAATCATCCATAATAATGAACCTCTATTTAAATAAATCACTGTTCAACATTTTTTTTTTCACCTTGGAGAGCAGAGTGACTTTTTCAAATTGAAATATTTTCACAAATATTTTGATACATATTTTCACCTCATGGTCATTTTTACTTAAAACAGCACATAAAGCTATAATTATTTGAAATTGCAGTTCTCTGTACTTAGCAGGACTTGCTATTTCTATTCATCATATTTAATAATCTATCATACTAGTTCCTCCTTTACAGTAATTAGATGTCTGTTAGGGAATATTGTTGCGTAAACATCCTTATCTGAGGTAAAAAGTGTTGTGTTCATCCCTTCTGTCATAATGGATATATGATTAAGTGATTTTAGAGTACCATCAAATAATCAAATTAGTCACAAGCATTACAGGATAAACATATTCATGAGATATGATCATGTCACACATTTACTGAACTGTGCAAACGATTAAGGTATAACAAATTATTTTCAGTGGGAAAATAATGTTTGCGACCCCATACTTTTTGGGAGGGGCATTATTTACATGCTGAAGGGTATGAAATGTCACACAATGCATGCTAATTATTGTTTTAATGATTAGAGATCAGGAGTCAATGCTTTTAGAAACAACTAGAGTTGATCGCTAACTAGGTGAGACACATGACAAGTGACAATAGCATTTAAAAAATAAATAAATTAAAATATAAGTGCTTTTATCGAATTGTCAGTTGTCAGCATGCAGAGAAATGTAGAATGAAGTCCAGGGCAATGATTTGTTCTTCCAAAATGGCAATTTACATATCAGCCTGTTTCTAGCAGCAGAGTCGCAGCTGTTTGTCTTCAGTTGGTCCAATGACAAGCTCAGCTCTGATATAATTTTGCATCTGCAGAATATGCACATCTTAAATTAAAATTTCATCCTTTTTTCCATCTGTTTGTTTTTGTTTATTGTATGTATTATAGTCAAAATTACAGGGCAGCAGTTATTGTGGTGTTGCTTGACTCAGCATGATTAATTTTGGGCAATGCAATTACTGTGTAATCACATCTAAGGTCATTAGTTAATTTTAAGAAGAAAAAAAAAGGTGATGCATATTATTTTCTCCCTTATGAACACTATGTACAAGGATGTGTAATATTGAATGTGATAGTACATGTGTTACACATATTACGTGTGTTACAAGTATTGTACGTTTTACACAAATTACAATTGTATTGCAAATCTTATGCATGTTACACATATTACAAGTGTTACATTTATTACATGTGCAATATTACAAGTGTTACAAGTACTAAATGTGTTACAGGTATTACAAGTGATGTGTATTTAAGTTTTCTCAAACATTTGTGTACAAACTTACGATTTTAACCAAATGAATGGCAGATGGGCCTTATTTGACTAGGCAACACCCTGAAATGACTCAGTGGCTAAAATCTATTGAGCACTTTTTTACTGTGTAACTCTCTAGCAACATAGTGTGGAATTAGCTCAGGCAAGCATCACTTCCAGAGTTGTGCTGGACTGTTCTCAAGGTTAGTGCGGTCACTGTATTAAATTACCATATAGATGTCATATTAGATAACATATCTTGTATCTCATCAATACAACTGACTATAGACTGGAGTCATCTTGGAGGCAAAACAATATTCAGGTCATGTGGTTGCCCATTTTGACTGTGACCTCTGACACTCGTACAACTCATCTTGATGTTTCAAGGGTGCATCATTAAACTCTGTAGTGTTTCCTTAGTGATGGCTCTTTATTGCAACTTCATGTGTCTCTGTTGTTCTTTACTGAACAATGTAGACATTTATTACTCTCTGGAATACTTATTTATGATTTAAAATATTTTAGCATAATGATGTTTATATATGTTTTATAATGATGAATGATTTATCTAGTCAACTTATTTATATTAATTTTATGGATAAATAAATAAATAAATTATGGATAAATATATAAGCTATAGTAATGACTGATTGTGTCTGGAAAAATAGCGATATGAAATAGATATTTTAATAATTTATTAATAAACTAGCGCTTCCTGAGTCAGTAGCAGCTGCAAAGATGAAGTTAGCAATGCTTATTCGCCATGTTAGCAGAGAAAAAAAAAAGTACCTTACATACGGATTACATAATCAGAGAGCATTTGTTTTTTTAATTGAATTAGTTCATAAAAATAGGCATTTTCAAGCTTTCTCTAGATATATGACTCATGCCTGAGGCAAGTAGCCTTTACGCTGAGCTTCGGTTCATTTCTGTGACACGCTCCAGTTCATGGAGATCGAGACAGCAGAAAGCACTTCCTATTTGTTTTTGTTTTTTTCTTTATTTTACAAAAGACTCGTTGCCGTTTCAAATTATTTATTAGCCTTATCTCTATGAGCAAAAATGGTGTGTTTTAAGCTGTTTCCACCATTATCAAGAAAAAAAATTTCAAGCAAATTGCGATGGTGCCTCTATGTCCTATAATCATGCTAACAGCTTCAACACTCCACACAAACACTTGGATATGCACCTAATAGCACACATTTATCTGTTTAACATTTATAGGGTAACGTTGGAGCGAATGGCCATGTAAAGTTCAATTTTGCTTAATTGAAAGCTTATTGTATTACTGTATTGAAAGCTTACTGTATTATGTAGAGTTGAATATTATGAGAGGGAGATGGACTGGTTATGTTAAAGGAGATTTCTGATGACAGCGCTGCTCAGTCCATTTGCTGATTCTGTCTTACAAGGTGCTGTCGAAAGTAAAAATATTGTCCTTGTTTACAACCCTGTTTAAAGGTTTAAATGACACAACAAGCTGAATTCAAGGAACGCGCAGCGACGAAAGTCAACACTATTGCCGCCTTGTTTCGGCTGCGTCTGGACCATAAAGCTGAGCTTGAACACACCGCACTACACAGTACATTTGGCAGTGTTAAATTAATGCTATAAGAGTTTAATTTAACATTCGGCCCGAGTGTATTTGGTCCCACTCAGAATTGGTGATAAATTGACTCTTGTCATAGTGTTACATTTTCAGTTAAATTAACTCTATTTGGAGTAAAAAAAAGTAACACTGCTCAACACTGAATAGTGTTACCAGAGTTTAACACTAGGGGAATTTAACTCTGCAGGAAAATGTATTCTGATTAGTGTTAATATTTCACTTATGTAGAGTTCATTTACATTTATAATAGTGAAAAATTATCTCATTTTAAAACCCATTTGGTATTTTAAAAACCATAGAAAACAAGATCAACGATGTCACATTTAAAACATTTATTAAAAAATGTTGTCAGGCTCAAGAAACATACACATACATGCACAAAAATACATCACGTCTGCATGAAATGACAATACATCATTATATTCAGTACAGAACCTGTTGAACCTACTAGCTAAGCAGCCTTGCTCTAACCTCAGCGATACAAGGACCTTCACTTTGCCAACATCTTTGTTGTACACAGTGGTCTGAATGAAAATGTACATCTTGTGTAGAATAGTGTTATAAGTGGTGCCAAAAACAAAGTGTGCCTTAAGAAGTTTGTTCACCAAAAAATAGAATTATCGTTAATTACTCCCTCTTATGTCATTCCATTTCTATAAGACTTTTGTTCATTTTCGGAACACAAATAAAGATATTTTTAATGAAATCTGACAGACTTTTATCCTTTCATTGACAGCCTATACAACTAAAACTTTCAAGGCCCAGAAAGGTGTTAAAGACAT